TATATATATATATATATATATACATATACATATACATATATAACGTTTTTTTTAAACGTCATTCCAACGTTGCCTCTGTCTGTCTGTCCTCAGCATGGAGAGGAGGTGTCTCCAGCAGCCAGTGACCTGGCCATGGTGCTGACCAGAGGACTGAGTATGGAGCAGCAGAAAAGCAACAGAGACTCCCTGCATTACTCCAGTGGCTACAGCACAGAGACCACAACCCCATCCTGCTCTGAGGACACCATTCCTTCACAAGGTGAAACTCTAATCCGCTATCCACCTTTTTTCCTCACACTCGAGTGTTTACCCATGATTAGTTGTAGAAGCCGGTATTCCTCCTCTGGTGGTTTAATTGTGTCGTGTCATGAGTTGCATGCAAGTCAAGCAAATTCTAAAGGTACTTTGGAAATGTCCCCAATGTTCCATCAACTGTTTTTGAGCAAATGAACTAGGCTACAGCGTAGTTTGGACACAAGTTACAGGCTACGCATGGCTGTAATCAGCCAGTAAACAGTAGAAGAAGTAGAAACAAGCAAGTCACCGTGGCCATCTAACACATCTAAGATGGAAAAAGTAAGAGAGCTATTGAGGAATTTGTCTCAAAGTTTTAATAATCGTGTCATTGTATTGGTCTTATTGTATCATGTCAGCTAATACTGGCCATGTGTCATGCTGTCCGGAGACGAAGACAAGCATTTACATTTGAATGTTTAACTTGCTTTGTCAGAATTCATTCTGCAGACATGTTTCCATATCCCATTTTGCTCATCAACTGTTTTACAACAAGGGCAAAATCCACATTGAGTGAGAGTAATTAATTTTTTTAAGTTTTAACGAACTTCCAATTTGAACCTTTTCTAATGCAACGCTCCAAAATGTGCATACATACCCGTCAATGGAAAATAGACCACATTACCAAGAATCTGAAGTGGATACACAGAACAGATGAGATCAGATCTTGAACGGTGCCTCAGCAGTCACTTCTTACAGAGTGGGAATACATGACGTGAAGCAATGGCCTAATGTTAGCGACGTCAACATCGTTGTTAACTGTCTTGTGTCTCTGAAGGTGTCGAGGGCAAAGAATTACAGAATTACAAAAGCACAGAAGCAAATACTTAGGTAGAAAATAGTTAAAGTATGGTTCAGGAAACACTTTATACTTCTGAAGGCAGCAGTAGAGCCAGAATATCAATCAAGCTTAACGTACGCCGTGTGTGATGCTGTGGGAGAGTCAAGGAGGCAGTGGTCTGCTCGTGAGTTCGTTAGGAGAGTCATGTAGTCATGTTTCAGCTTGGTCAGTGCCCCTTGGCGTCTCATAGCGGCGCCATCCCCGTCATTATTAGAGCAACTGATGTAGTTTAGATAGGATCGACCTGTGCAACAAACCTTTTTTTTTTTTTTTTACCCAAACCACAACAGGTTTTGTTGCCTAAACGTAACCATATTGTTTCATTGCGCAAGTAAAGCTAAAAAATCAAGTAAAGCTACAATGAAAGTTAATTTGGCATGCATGTAGACAGTGGAGGCTTGTCAAGCTGTCCCTAAGTTATCATTTGTCATGGCAGCACCCATTGGCTTCTGAGGAAACATGGGAATACTCTACTGCTCTAACTACCGTTACAGTTACTCTTGTTCTTTCTAAGGAGCCCACATTTATCACTTATCTCCTGGCCACATTCATCATCTTCTATTTTGTCAAATCTCAGGAAAGCCAACCTGAAGAGAAATATCAATATTTACAAGCTCTGCCAAATTTTGACTTCATCATTTTCACCAGAAGTGTCCAAAATCAAACAAAGTGAATCATCCCTAATCATCCACGCAGCTTGCACAGTATATGAGGGTTCTGACAGTTTCCTTGACAACAGCTGGAAGATGACAATAACAAGATGTAATTGAATAATATTTGATGTGTTTGTGCCACACAATGCTTACTGTCAGTTTTTGGCTTCCTTCATCCAAATGATGTTTTTATCCCTGTGTTGATCTAATAACGTGTCCACAGCACATTGTCTTTACTCTTTCCTTTGATGGCGATTGTCTCCTCAATCACTTGTCATTTTTCTCCCTTCCCCACATTAGGTTCAGATTATGACTGCTACTCAGTGAACGGTGATGCTGAAGGACCAGATGGACAGACAGAGTTTGACAAGTCCTCCACCATTCCTCGACACTCTAACATCGCCCAGAACTACCGGCGCATGATCCAGACCAAGAGGCCGGCTAGCACAGCCGGCCTACCCAGTGGGGTTCTTGGTCCTGGGGGTCATGGGATACCAGGACAACCCGGTGGAGCTGGTGGAGGTGGAGCAGGTACTCCAGGCACCGCCACCATCCGCCGAACCCCGTCTACCAAACCGGGCGTGAGGCGCACGCTGTCCAGTGCGGGGCCTATACCCATCCGACCACCCATCGTGCCCGTCAAGACACCCACAGTCCCCAGAGACTCGCATTCACCCGGCGCAGCTGGTGGTGGGTACGCAGGTGGAGGGCACTTAGGTGGCGTGCCTGTGCGTGTAGGCAGCGAGGAGTGTGTGTTCTTCACCGGAGTCGAGGATGGGCAGGGAGCGCTCGATTATGTGAAGGCGTCACCGAAGCGCCTCAGCCTGCCTAACACCGCCTGGGGATCGGGGGCGGCGCTGGAGGTCTACGCCCAGCAGCACGGAGGCCTTCCAATGGGAACGGGCTCCGGGGCCGGATCAGAGGAGGATCAGATGATCGCAGCCAATCGGCACAGCCTCGTGGAGCAGATTGGTGAGTTGGTAGCCAGCGCGCACGCTCTCGGAGAGGGGCAGTTTCCTTACCCCGCCCTCCCCGATGACCCGGCCCTGCCGCCAACCGATGCTCCGTCAGGGTCGGAGGGGGCAGAAGGGTCCGGTGACATGTTGACCACCATCAGGAGAGGAGTCCGCCTCCGCAAGACTGTCTCCAATGACCGCTCGGCGCCACGCATTTTGTGATTGGAGGAGAAGCAACGAGAGGATGATACTTGTCAGCCAATAGGGAGTCAGGTGTTGGTGTGGTGCAACCCAACCGCCTAGTACATACACAGACACTTAACTATGTAGGGAAAGATATACTATAACAGAAGATGAATTAAAACAAACACAAAAAATGAGTTTAAAGACACCATTAGAGTAAATGATATATAATATAATGATAATAACATTAATAATGTTAACTCATGCTGACAATTACAAGTGAAATACTGAATATTGACAGGCTCCTAGCAGGCCACTATAACTAGTGTGTGTTGGACGCATGTTTGTCTTCTCTACACCTTCACCCAGGGATGAAAAGACAGATACGACAGATACGATTAAAAGAAGAAAAAGCAAGAGAAAGAGGGAAAGACTGGGTTCCGCTTGTCGACGTACACCCTTCCCCATCCTCTTCTCCAAATAACCCGGCTGTCTAATCCCAGATGAAAGACTGAGGACTGAAGGAGGGCCCTGTGGGGGCGAGAGAGAGAGAGGGGGTCAGAGTGCCATGTGACCAGCTGGATTAGAACCCCGGCTGTCTCAGCAGCAACATACGTTAATGTACTTATTAGTCCACTGAACTGAAGCTTTGGTATTAGCACGGGGAGCTAACAAGCCAGAGGGCTCCTCTGGTTCATCCTAATGTTAAAAAGAAAAAAAAAATACTGTTGGCATTGAACCGTGCTAGTGCCCCCTTCCCCTCTCCCCCCCCCCCCCCCCCTCTCTCTCTCTCTCTCTCTCTGTGTGTGTGGTGTGTGCGTGGATTCATGTGTAGGCATGTGAAAAGCGTGTGTGTGTTTGCACACGTGATTGATTGTGTGTGTGCGAGGTGTGTGGGGGGGGTGCGGGTAGAGCTCTGCTGCAGGACAGCTGGTTACCCAACGAGGGCAGGGCTTCTTTTCTCCTGTGTGTCGTACGTGTGTTTTCTTGTTCCTATCGTGACGTCATTTACCTTGTTATAAGCATACGAGAAGCTACGAGAAGTAAAGTAGATATATTCATATATATTTTCTAGAACCAGAGAGAAAATGTTAAATCAGAAATGGAGCAATAAATGTGTTTTATTTTCTTGTTTCCGAGAGGAGGATCGATGGGGGACTGCAAGGTTCTCCTTTGTCACATTCAGGCAATCATCAGGAATGCTAAATTACACATCGACTGTGAATTCATGCCTCGCCGTTATTTTGGCGTGTGTCTCTCTCCCTGTCCCTGTCTCTTTCTGGTGGAGGAAATAGATTACAAAAATGCTGAAAGAAATAACTGTAAAGCACTTTGATAGGTAATACAGCATGTACACAAGCCAATGGGTGTCGCGGTAGTCAAACTGAATCATAGGGAGCGTGAAAATGAGAGAGACGGTTGCCAATAAGTGGGAAGTAAATGATTGAATTCGTAGAGGAAGCATAAGACGGGGAGGGGAAAAGAGGAAGTGATGAAGACTGGTGGAATCGGAGTGATTGGTCAAATGAGAGAAGGGAAAAGAAAGTAGAGCAAACATATTTATCTAACAATGGATTGAGCGTTTGGACTCTTAAGGATTCTACAAGCTGTGCATTGAGAATGGTAAGGAAGCTCGTCATCATGTGGTTGCACTTGTATCTGAACACATAATGCAAAAAGAATACACTGTACAGAAAGGTCAGACTGCTTTTAGATATATGCTTTAAACGGTTGGTTAACCCATGTGACAAATAAACGTATTTTCTCGGTAGCCATGCAAATAGTTTTGGGTTTTACGTGTCTCTCCATTGTGTTGGGGTGGATGCAGAAACCTGGACAGATAAAACTAAAACTGTCAACACGCATAGAAAATGTGTCTTTGTAATTTGGGTTCAACAAGACTTAAGCATTCATCGACAATGGACTTGAAAATATTTGCAGGGAGTAGATTATGTTTGTTGGAAATGCATAATTATATTGTGCCATTTTCAACAGGCTGTGGGACTGCCAATGTCCACGTTCATGTCCATGTGCAAATACACATCGGCACGCCAGCTCCTCTGCAGATACAGTCTCACCTATAAATATTGTATATTTTTGCATTATGGGAAAGTTAAACCTTGAACATAGCTGAATTGTGTCCCAGATTGGCTCCAGTTAAAACCTACGTTCCTAACTACAGTCATTTTCCTTTAAAAGGACACCATGAAGAAACCTAGTACAAATGATTATAGTGGCAATAGTGTTGCCATAAGAGGCAAAAAAAAACAAAAAAAAGCAGATAGAGAACACGTACAGTTGGTTGCTCAGTGTTGGGCAGTAGCTATCTGCTAGCTAGCAATGAGTAGCTTTGTCTGTTCCCAGGCCCGTCAGTTGGGAATAGGACTTCTCTAAAGTAATGTAAACAGCTACTATTGCTGTTGAGTAACTGATTACATTTTTCAAGTAAGTTGCCCAACACTGGCTACTAATGAGCGGTGTCCCTTGAAACGTAAAAAAAAAAAATGGATCCAGTCACCGAAAGTAAACGTATTCCTAGTAATCAGGTTCTTTGTGTGGACAGTACTTTACCCCAGTACGGTTCAGCTCAGCTCAGTGCAGAATAAACCCTGTTCAGCTCAGGACACAGCTGTATGAAAGGATTGTTTACGGACACTCAGATGTGAAAAACGGTAAAAGGCCGGTCCATGCCGCTCGCTGGTGACAAAGAAGCAGGAGGGTTTGAGTTAGACTGTTGAAGCTGACAGAGAGAGGGAGATGTGTGTGTGTGTGTGTGTGGGGTGAGCGTTTCACTGCCTGTTCATACAATATGTACTGTATGTGCTGTACTTGTAAATGGGAATTAGGCGCACAGATTTCAAAGGTTTGTTAGAAAATATTACATGGAATATTCAGTTCCAGTATTTCTGTTTTTTTTTTTCATTCTGCATTATTCTTTGAATATTTAGTCTTGCTATTAATTCATGTAAAAAAATAAATACAATTAGAACAAACCTAAGTTGTGTAAGATATGGATAGGCTGTGTGGGGGAGAGAGTGAGTGTCCTTGTTTGGCTGGTGAACTCTTCATCAACATGTCTGTACGCTCTTAGAAGTGACCTGAACATAGCTGCTCATCAGCGCTCTTACAGGCCCCGTTTCTGTTGACTTATTCATGAGCTCTGGCTGTTTGTTAAGAACATTATGATGATATTTAATTTAAAGAGAAAGAGAGGAGAATGTTTTTTTTTTAAATTGTCACCTTCTGCCAGCACACGTTTCTTCTTTGTTGAACTTTAAAACGGTGCTTTGGCAGGCGGAGACGTTTTCTTTTTGTTCTTCTGTTCTTTTGACGGGGGGGGGAACTACTGTATTGTCACATGTGACTACTGTAACTACTGTGTTGTCACATGTGGATGCTGTAAGGGTGGAAGGGGAGAGCAGCGGGCTTGGGCTCCATAACCCCCCCCCTCCCAAAAAAAAAATCTGAAGAGTCTGCTACGTAAGACCGCCCGTCGAGGTCACACTGTACATGAATATACATACGTATGCTGAATGTACTGCAAGGTGAAAGGGGGGATGTTGAACTGTGCTGGTTTGACGTGGCTGAACCGTTGCGATGTCAGAACTTTGTTCTTGTACAACTGAATGAAGTTTAAAACAGTAGGAAAGCAATACAGCGGCAGTGTGCATGTACACACAATGTATTCACAATGATGCTCCAGTGTGGGCGCGTTAAAGGAAAATACCACTGTTTTGTCCACTTGTGTTCCCCTGGTCTAAAAGCTATTCCACATGGCACGGCTCTGGATGTTAGTCTGAATATGTAATTCCAGTGCAAACTGCCAGTTATCTACAGTAAGTTATTGCTTGAGAAAAAGGGTTAATACTGCCACAATAATGGATACCAACTCAGAACAACGACCAATGTATGTGACAAGACGGTCAGGTCACACCACTGGCTGTAGAATGAGTGTGAGACAAGAGTAAGATACAACACTGCTATTTTCCTTTAAAATGCCCAGTTAACAGCACAAAAAAAAAAGTGATCTAACTAAACAATAATGTTTTTTTGTTTTTTTAAACATGCTGAATTACTGTGTACTGAACTAACTGTCTAAACAAGCTGAAATAACTACTTTCTGCTACAGTTGTGTCAGTATGCCCATTTTGACGAGTGTACGTGTATTTGGGTAGAAGTATAGGCCTACAGGCCACGTGGGCAAGGCAGGGGCTACATGGACAACAGGACGCTCTGTAGGAACATACAGAGACACATAGCCAGGTTGACATGCGTGCAGGCATGCGTGCGTACACACACACACACGTCATAGGATATACACACAAAATCCTCTCTTCCTCAACTGAGAAAGCAGCACAGTCCTAACTAACTACTGTACAGCATGTCCAACTAGCACTGTAAAAAGTAACATTTTAACATTCATTTCAGAATTGTATTGAGTTTAAATGGTTGAAAATATCCCATCTGAACCTTCAGTGACATTACTGCATTTTAATTCCTTCTGCCATTAGCGGTCTTGTTGCCTAGCAAAGCTAGCGTCTGAGCTGGGCAACATCTGGATTAGGACAAACTTGGAACATGGTGCAGTTCTTTCATTTTACAGTGATTTATATAAAGTAAGCACACTTGATTCAAAGTTGAAATGATGACACTGTGTCTCCACACATACAGCTAGCCCGACAGATTATAGTGCTGTTGAGTATTACGTACGAACGCTCACAGAATTGTTTGACATTTTGGGAAATAGCCGCCAGCGAATGGTTAGCTTAGCTCGACATACAAACTGGTACACAGGGAATCAGCTAGCTGGCTTTGTCCAAAGTTAAAGTGGCAATACACATGTTTTTTTTTTTTTGCTTTGACTTATTTAAATGTTGATTGCACAATGTAATAGCTATAACCATTGGCATTTAGATTGGTTCCCTATAAACCTTGCTTTCACTATGCATTCCTGTCGGCCCTGTGTTACGTCTCCTGGTAAAATTAAAGCTCCATTTTAGGCACAAAGGAAGTGCGTCAACCATTGCGCAGTCAAAACAGGAAGAGGTTAGCGCTTTGGTTTTTTCAGTGGCACCAACAACAATGGTAGTTGGGAAACTTGCCT